CCCCCCCAAAAAAACAGAGAAAAAGGAAGAAAAGAAGAAGGCAAGAAGAAAAAAAAATACGCATCGTATAACACGACCGTACGAAGCGTACGAGCTCGAAGAATAGAAATTCGCGTTGTGTGTCGGCCACTCGAAAACTTCGTCTTATTTCTCTCGTTTCCCCTTCGTGTTTCCGAGCACGAGCGCGTTGCGCGAAAATGGGAACGCGTAAGGGGAAAAGTTCCTTCCCCCCTTTCTTTCCTTTTTCCTTTTTTTTTTTTTTTTTTTNNNNTTTTTTTTTTTTTTTTTTCTTTTTCCATTCCTCCTCTCCCTTTCGACGTCCCAGGTGGAAATCGGACGCGCGTCGAAAGCACCCAATAACACACAATCGAGAAGTCGACTGCTCCCGCTCCCGCCACTCGATATTCAGGCAAAATGGAACGCGTTCGTGGCTCTGCGTTATCGTTCCACCCGCGTTACCCATTTTATATCCATCCAGCGTGGCTCAGTTCGCCTGTGGCCCGTTCTGTCGCGCTGGTAAAATGGATGGTAAAAAAAAAAAAAAAAAAAAGAAAGAAAGAAAGAGAAAAAAGAAAAAAAAAACAAAAAAAACCCTAGCTCAGTCTACGACTGCCACGGCCACGCGTATATCCCCCACTGATTTCAAAACTGCGAGGGATCGCAGATACGCCTAGAATCGTCTGTCGTGTACCTCTCGTAAACCTTTCTATCTCTATTATCTTTTAATCCTATTTTTATTTTTTATTTTTCTCACTCCTTTTTCTTTTTTTTTTTTTTTTTTTTCTTTCGAAATTGACAATACTTATTTTTCAATTCCATTATATATTTTCTTTTTCCATTTCTCCTTCTTTCATTTCGTTTATTTACCCGATATTCGTTGGAACGATGACCCTTTTAAGCCTTTGGACAGGAGCGTAGCCTCGAAAATGACCGAACGAATCAATATTTCGCGACTGTTCATTAAATATAATCGTGCAAATAATACGAAGTCGGGTAAATAACGGATTGCTTGATAATTAGAGATATTAATATCTGTTGTAAATAAACGAGAAAATCGGGAATCGTATGGTGGCCGTTACGATGTGCGAAAAACATCGAGGGGGAGGGTGGATGTGATGATATATTGATTTAACTTCTATTTTTTTTTTTTTTTTTCGTTATTTTTTCGTATATTAAAAATGAACGTTCGGGCAAATGTTGTGCAATGATTGGCAAGAGTTAGTTGAAATGATATAAATCGTATAGATTTATCTTGCAAAGTGTTTCGAATATCGTCCAATTATTCTTTTTCGTCGTTTTTATTGTTTTTTTCGTTTAAAATCTAAACTTCTATTTAATCAAATCGTGCACGATACGTGTTTCCAAGATTTTCCAAAATTTCCATTGGATTTAATATCGTTATTCTTTGTTTTTCTCACATTTATAGTAAGTTTTCTTTATAAAAACTTTCTTTGATCGTTCGATGATTCATTCAATGAAATTCGGTGATTCATCGATCGATTATGTGTTTTATCGATTAAAAATTATTATACCGTTCATTTATGTGCAAATAATCAAATCTTTCTACTTAATCTCTTTTTGTTTCTTATTCTAATTCTTTTTATAAATTCAACTTTTAAATTCGAATGACAATAATTGTAAAAAATATTAAATTTTTTTTGATACTCATCAACAACGACATTACATCAATGACGGAAAAGACAAAAGGAAAAAATTTATACGATCGTATTATGGAATTAAAAATTTAAACTATTTTCTCAAATTTCATTGAATTTTCGTGTACAATGGTGAAAAATAACGATAAAAGAGAAAAAAAAAAGGAAAAAAATCCCGTACGCGTCTGTTTGTGGCCAATATTAATCTTAGTTTCGCGGGGAAAAAATTCGATTCTCACGCACGCACGAACGATCAGATCCGGTCGACGTACCGTTGCAGAGGCCGTTGCTTCGCGATGAACTTTCGAACTCGTTTCGAAACATGAACAGATGTTGGCTCTTTCGGGTCCAATTTATCAACCCGTGGATCCGTTTCGTGGCGCGCTAAGTGCTTCTGAATTGACCTTCGAGTAGCCCACCATTATAGCATCGCGTGTGAGTTATGCTTGCGATACTTTTTCTCGACCGCTATTATACTTATTCGTCTGTACAATTTCCTCTATATATATATATTTCTTACGTCACAACGAGAGGATAATGGACGCTCGTTGAAAACATATTCAAATGTTGTATCGTGCAACGGAAAAAAGAAAAAAATTACAAACAACAATTCGTAAATACATATAATGTACCATCCTCGACTAAAATCTCTAACGCACGAAATTTATGGAGAGAGAGAAAAGAAACGAGAAGAAAAAAGAGAGAGAGAGAGAGAGAGTGAGAATAAAGAAAAGAAAACTCTCTCGACAACGTTTAGAACGTTAGCACGCGATGCAACGAGGATACGGAGGAAAGAAGTGATCCACCGCGAGCAATTTTATCCTCAATTTGCCAGGTAGAAAACGACGCCACTCAGACGAGCGAGAAGCCACTCACTCGTGGCACAGTAGACACGTCGAAAGGCTTGAGGCTCGGACAACAAGTGGTGCTGTAACGAGCTTTTTATGATGAATGTGTTGTCCCCTCCCCACGTGCGAAAACGTGACATTCTCGAGCACGTGCTCACCTGGCCGGCTCGCGGCTCCTTGACCCGTGAAACGGCTTCAGGCATTGTTTACCGCCGCGAATCTGTACAGTTCCCCGAGATAAGAAACGTCGCCGACGAAAATATACGAGGCACGGAACACGAGATCGGCCTGCAAACGACTGGGAACCGATGAGATTCGAGCTGGGATTAGGGCGAAACGACGGGCAGAGGAATAGGCAGAGTAATGAGAGTGGAGTTGGAAATGGTTTCTTTGCAGCGATACTAGTTTGCGAGTAAGTATAGCCGATGGAACGGACGTAGCTCGTAAATTCTGTCGGAAAAATTTGCGCGTTACGACAATCGAAACGTGTGATTTGAACGAGGGAGAGGGGAAGAAGGGGGTGGGAAAGAAAATTCGAGTCTGGTTCAAATATTCAATACGATGATATTTTCTTGAAATATGAACGGTGAACGTTCGTTGGTAACAATCTCGATTGAAGAAGTAAAATGATAAGATACTTTTTTCTGATCGGTAAAAGTACTTTAAGATTTTTTTTTTTTTTATTATATATAAAAATTTTGTAATTCCATCAAACGTTTAGTCAATTCTACAGAAGATTTATTATATATATTTGACGATTTGTATTCCGGGAAAAAAAATATTCTCTCAGATAAATCCGAGAGATTTGGAACAGCTATGGGTGCATCGTTAGTCCAACAAATGATTCTTTTCCATTTTGATACGAAAGTTCAATGAAATACAGCATCAACGGCTTCGTTTCTCTCGCTATAATCAAGGGAACTCGTAAATAAATCTTCCTTTCTTTTTCTTCATCTTTTTCCGTACCATCCTTCTCTCTTTTTCTTTTTTTTTTTTTTTCATATTTATCCGATAGCTTTCGGCACTTTGTCGAATATCTCGAAGCTGACAGAGGGCGCCACCGATATTTGAATAATTCACGTATTTCGATCGTATTTCCTCAAAAATATATCGCGCATCGTAAGGAAATCGCATTTTCAAAAATGTCGGAAGTATTCGTCAGATCTTGCGCGAGGTACGATCACGTTTCCCATTTGACAGGTATTCGAATCATCTCTCTCTCATCCATTTTCTTGGGATAGATTCAATCACGATCATCCATTGTTTTTTACATTAATCCTTACGTCTATGTTTCGTATCATTCACCTTTTTAAAGTAATTCTCTGATAATAAAATTAACTTTAGAGCTTGTTCAAACTCTGATATACCAAATAATCCGATTGAATTTCAAAATCTTTTAAAATTTAACATAAAATTTTAAATTCAACTGGATACTTGAATATTAAAAATCAAATAGAATATATATATATATATACACGAATATTTTTTATCATTTTATTTTTAATTTAGCCTTAGAGCAGCATCCACATGCCATATATACACATATACATGTACAATAGCGCAGAAATAATTTTTTATTACAACGAATCGCAGCAACGAATACATTATATCTTTGCAAAACGCGCGTGGATACGCGTGGCACGAGAGAGATAAAGTTTTAATTCGTTCTCACTGATGCGTGGAATAATGCGCGGTGCGTCATTGAACCGTGTTATCGAGACACGGAAATAAACCAGCCCGGCACGGCTCATACGTTATTCATTACGATTTTCACTTTGCAAATTGTTTTAACGACGCGCGTTTTCACCGATTGTGAAACTTTCAAAAACGATCCCCTTTGTCGCGGTCACGATTATATTAAGACTCGCCACCATAAAAGAGAAAAGGTAAATAAAGTATCCGATCGCTTCCTCGTTGTTTACGTATCGGATAATCGTCTTTCTCTCGTTTTCGAATCGGCGACAATTAGAATTCGATGCGACGACCGATCGTTGGCGGAACAGCTTTTAAATTTTTCTACTTTCCGGGATCTTTGTTAACACGAAGCTTATAAAGCGGCGCGAAGTGATAATATTAAGTTGGTCATATTGTTCGTTGTTCTATAGAGACTTCTCTAGGGGGGAGGGGGATTATTCGGCGAAAGTTTTTATAGGATTAGCGAGATTGAAGACGGATACCCGAGGTTAAACTTATAAAAACGCGGCCAAGTTTCACGAAGGGGGAGGGAAGGGGTGGATTATAGAAACGAGAGTAAGTGAAAATTATTTCGCGAAACTTTTCACTGTCTACTTTGGCGTCCTTTAAGAACGTTACGAGGATAGATTCATGATTTGCAATATCCATTGTACGAAGTGTCGAAGTTTAAATTAAAAATTTCCCATTAGTTTTGTTTTTTTTTATTGTTGAAGCGTTTCTTTTAATAAAATTAAAAAGCTTGCTCGTTCTTCATCACGAGTTAATTTGTTCCGATTTATAAGGACGAGTATGTATCACATACCTGCATGAAGTTTTCTCGCGAAACAAGTTTATACAATTATCTGGAACAGAAGAAAAAATAAATGAATAGATATAAATATTAATGTTCAAAAATTAATGAATAGATATATTTATTAATATTCATTATCAATCATAATGGGGCATAATTAACAATTGAAATATTATAGCCTGACTTTTTTTTACTTGACTTTCGAATAAAAGTCATTGTTTTATGCAACAAGGAATAGAAAATTCTCTCGTGTTCTTAATTCAAGATAATAACATACATACATATGTATATATATATATATATATACACACATTAAAATCAATCATCATCAAAAGATTTGTTGGCTTTCAGAAACCACTATGATGATCTCGACAGACATAAGTATATACACACGTAATATATCTAATTCTCAATTGCCATTTTTAATTTTTTAAATCTACATACATCCACGAATATCGACAGATTATTAAAATAATCATATCGGGGGATTGTTCGTAAAAATTCCATGTAAAAATCCCCCTCCTTTAAAGATCTTTAACCGTAACGTCTTCCGTAAAAATCTGCAAGGTTTGTCACGCAAATCGTAATCCCTGGATCCGAGGAAGCCGAGCACCACCACCACCACCACCCTTCCCTCCTCCCCCTCCTCTCATCCATTATCATCGAAAGCGGATTCGAGCGCTTCGGCAACTTTCAAAGAAGAATTTATTATAATCGCATTCAAGAGCGTCTTATGGCAACGACTGGAAAGTAGCTATTCCACGTGGCGCGGGGGCCGAGGGGTGGAAGCTGATTGAAACTCTGAAACATTTGCTCCGTTGGGTAACTTAGCAGCCAATCGTCGCAGATAAGTCGGTTTCTCTCCCCCCCTCCTCAGTTAACGGTTTCCTTAATTAATCGTCTACCGTCTCGCGGTTCGCATTCCCTCGCGACGACAACGACAACGACGACGACGACGACGACGACGACGAAGGAGATGGTAGTGGTGGCGAAGGACGGATATCGAAAACTTTTCCCAACGTCCCTTCCCCCCTCCTTAACTGTTACTCTATTAATTCACCATTATCGCGAAAGTATAGCAACAAACCAGAGAGGGGCCTCGTCGAAGAGGTGCAAGGATGGCCGGAGTTAATAGCTTCTCTCCGTTCTTCACCACCGCTTAATTGCTCGGTAGATAGCGCTCGAATTTCGCGCGCATCGTCCCCACTGTGAGGTTATGTAATTAAGATCGGCACGATTTGATAGAAGAAGAGCGACTGGAATTTGAATAGGGATGTCGATTAGAGTGATTCTAGTTTTTTTCTTTTTTTTTTTAGAATGTAGTTGTTTTAAAATACGCGAATGATAAAAAATTATTGAATTTAATGTCTATATTATTTTGATCCTTATCGAATGATTTTGATATTTATATAATCGTAATGTCAGAGATGAAATAACGTAAGATAGTTATTTCTTTGTCTTATTTGTAAGTGAGAGGGAACAGATTAGTGACGGAACTCGTGATTAGCGGTTTGCGGTTAGAAGTTGGCTAAGTCTGGATTAGATACACATGACTGACGTTTATAGGAAATTCCACTTTAAGGAGTCTTCACAAGAAGAACACTCACAATATCGTTAATGTTTTACGAAGAATTGGTATATAGAAGTTGTGTATAGAAAAAGTGTTATCGGAGATTTAACTTCTTTCTCAAAGCAAGATAAGGGAAAATTGCTTGTCTGTCGAAGAATTCTTCTTATACTTGGTATAAACGATCTTTGAAAGCTCGAGGAAGGGAAAGAATCGATAGATTGAGGTTTGAACACCGATGAATCGTTCGTTTGAGCGTTGAACGATTTAGTTATCGGGAATCGTTGATTTAAATTTTTTATCCGATCTGATTTTTTTTTTATTTGTCTTTTTCCGCGCTACTTGAATGAATATTATTAAATAAAATTAATTCCACCTTTATCAAAGGATTGTAAATTGTTCCGCTCGTTTCACGTTTGAATGGTGTGTACTTTAATAACCACGATATTTGAACTTGGATGTTCTCTTTGTTTGCAGGCGAGCAGACTTTACTCGTAGTGCGCTATATCTTTATTTGTCATGCGCCACACCTGCCAACTATGCAATTGAAAATTAAGATGTAATATAAATTTCATATTAAAAAAAGGATTAAACGAAAAAGAAAGAAAAAAGATTCGTAACTTTTGTTGTCAAATAAATATCTTTGTTTGGTATCGCTTTTTACATGATATTTATATTATTCCAATATTAACAATATTATTTAATATTATTTACTTATGATCTTTGGAGCGAAAAAAAAAGAAGAATTGGAAATCAAAATACCAATATCGGTAATAATAATTAAGTAATAATTAAAATAATATTTGATCGAAGAATTATAAATAAATTATATTTATATTTCTCTCGATACATTAAATATCAAAACAATTCAACTAAATCAAACTATTAATTGCAACCATTCACGCAAATGAAATTACGTTTTCATTCAAAGAAAATGTTCCAAAAATATATATTTCACATTGGAAAGATGTTGTAATTCGAGTTTTAAATATGCTTTTATTTTATAATAATTACAGATAGATGTTTCTTCAAGAAGAATTATTATATTCTTTTTACGTGTATTATGAAGAAATAATACTCGAATATCGTGTTTTATAAATGCTGATATCACTTGGATTATATGATAATTCATTATAATTATTCGATTTATTAGTCTCATTGTGATAACACTATCGTCGCGGTTGCTGGGATAATAACAGCGGAATTTCAGGAGGATAGTTGACCATTTCAGCTGTATGGCTTAATACAGCTTAACTTTGATAATCAAATGAGAATTGTCCTTTTTGCAACGGCACTTGATACTATAATTGGAGTTTAAACCGTGCTAAACCGTTAAAATTTACTTTTTCAAATTGACTGTTTTATCGTTGAAATTTCGTGGAAATTAATTAATATATTTGTTTTATCAGCGAATTTCCAGAAATCGTATTATTCATCTATCATGTATCATAGATGTAAATTTTATGCAGGTATATCGAAACAGCTTTAATAATTGGAAATTTATGTCGACAAGCTGCGATACACGCTATTTAATTGCGTACAAGAAACTATTATTGTTCCAAAATAACTATCGCATCCCGATGTTGTTTCGTTAAATTCGATCGTTCGCGTAAACAATAATTAAACAATATCAATTCCCCGTGACTTTATCAATTTTTATACAAAAACATTTTAATTGACGTTCAATTCCAAAAAAAATAAAATACGAACATTCGTATATGTATCAAATATCAGAAATAACATCTACTCGTAATATAACAGATATACTATAATAGATTTCTTGCGACAATTAAAAAAAAAAAAAATCTTCTCTCATATCAAAATGTTAAAATATTTTATTTTTCAAATTCTTTTCAAAAACTTTTATCCATCCATTATTTATGACAGAGTTAAAAACCTAATATAAAATCATCATTAATTTATAGAAAACCCGAATTTTGGAAAGAATCGGAATTTCCATCTCGATATTTCGCAACGAATCGAGATTATTGATCCATTTTCTGCTTATGATCACTGCTCCAAGATTTTTGATGTACCAAGTTGTAAAATAGAAAATATCACGCGAAATATGATAAATTTCATCTTGCATCGAACGCTTTAAAATTAATTAATAACTTAATTACTTGAAAATCGAGTATTTTCGTCGTCGTTCATCGGAAGTCGTAACCGATTTCCTGGCTTGGACAGACTGTCGTTATCTACAAGCTTTGAAAGGAAGGAACGAGACCACGAAGGTCGAAGCAGCAACGTTGATTCGAGTTTCTCGAGTTCGTGAAGAAAGTCATCAACTGATTAAACGTACGTGTATCGTCGTTTTTTTACGCGATATCGACCCGTTGAATATTCAAAGTCGGCGTCACGCCTCTTCCGCGATTTGATTAATTGCTCCGACCCAACTGCGCCCTGGAATTCTTTCCCTCCTCCAAGGAATTCTTTCCTCGCTGAACGACGTTCGTTCTTGGAAAAATATTTCGACGCAAAGGAAGACGTAAACGTAAACAGAGAAGAGGAAATAGAGCAAGATTGATCGACGTGCCTTGATAAGAGAGATTTTTATGGAATTTTTGTTGTTACAATTTTTATACATCATCGTATTTCTTATTATTTAAACATCGGGAGAATTCGAAAGAAATTTTACATTTTTACAACGGATATATAGATTTCTTATCCGCTTATTTTACAAGAAATTCCTCCTTTGAACAATCGTTCTCGCTATACATCCAATTTAATTTATTTCTTATTCAACGAATATCGAGTCTCGAAATCGATCGAGCAATCCTCCCACTCAACGATATTCGATAACTAACACCAAGGAGGAGTGCCAATGAAAGGACAAAAGATAGAATTGAAATAAGAACGTCCTGAATAAAACACGATCATTTCGACGTTCATTTCGACTCGTTCAATTGATTCGGACGGGGATGCTGAAGTGGTGTTTCAAAAGGGGAAAGAGATGTTCCTCGGGGATAAGAAGCGCGAAGGAGAGGCGTCTAGTGGCGGATAATAAAGGAAAAATGGCCATTAAGGGGAGAAGGAAAGGGGCGGGGGGGGGGTGATTGAATTGTATAATTTAATTCGTTATTAGGAACGTGAGTTCGTGAATGGAGTTTGCGGAGGAAACCGCGGGGTCACGAAGCTTTATTGAAAAGACACGCGGGATTAAAGCAAGGTGGGGAAGGACGCGGACGATAACAATCGACGATTTGGATCCATAATCCGCGTGCCTCGTGCTCGTCCAAACAGTTTAACTTGGGGCGAAACTTTGGCCTCGAAACGGGCGTGATAAACGATCGAAGTTTCTCCTTTCATCGGTGGTCGTTCGACGAATACTCTCTGGATTCCGCCACGTCGTTCACGCCTCGCCTCTTCCACCTAGGTGTCGCCATCCCCTCCCCCTCCCTTTCCTATCTTCTCGCCTTTTTGCTAAATTATTACGTCCCGGCCCATCGATCCATCACGCGTGCATACGTTTCACGAAACCGTATATCTCGAACGTCGCTCCAATCTTTTCGAGTGTAATTTTTGCTCCACGTTTACTTTGCCCTTGCAGTTTTCCATTCCCTGTACATATTGCAAATTTACAAATTGCAATTTTACAACGCATTGTGCAATTGCTTAATAGATGCGGATAATTATCTCAGATGTTATCTTTTACTCTATCAGCGATGACATTCGATTATGCATAGACCACGTGTTTCTTAGAGCGGCATTTCAATTATATTTTAACAATTTCTACAAAAATTCATATCGTATTTAAAATACGAAACGTACTCGCTTTAATATTAACGTTCAACCAAGAAGAAATGAAATAACTATTTTCCTGAAACACACCTGAAGAATTGTAACACACGATTTTGATTAAAATTCCGCGCGTCGAATCGAAATTATACTTTTCAAGTTCAAATGGAATAATACGAGAATCTTCTCGGCGCGGATCAACGACGCGGAACCGCCCCAAAGTTTCGTTCATTCGAACGAAAACTTTTCGAGAGCACGAGAAATATTCGCGACGCGGACTCGAAATCTCTTTGGCACCGTTTTGTCGACCTATCTCGTCCACGCATTGGGTTAAATAAAAATTAATAAAAGGCTCGTTGTTCCCAAAAGGAAACGAATTCTTGCGAAAATTTCGGCGCGCGTCGAAGGCGTCGAAGGCGCTTTAAGCCTTCGCGGTCGAGAAGTTAATCGATACTTGAAGAAAGATTCGAGAGGGGTTTGAAAAGCTGGCTTAACTTTCGCTCGGCTGGTAATAAAGCGGCTTACTCACGTCTTGCCGAGCACATCCGCCCGGGTTCAATCGCACCGCGAAATTGGCAAACTTGGCTGGCCCTCTGCTCCTCCCTTCTGTTTCTCCTATTTGTCCTCTATCTGTTCACCGTCACTGAGCACGATCATTTGTGAAAACTCTATCCTATCCACGCTTTCACGCTGTCTATGATGCACACGTATTTTCTAGGAACATTATAATTTCTCTCACTCTCTCTCTCTCTCTCTCTCTCTCTCTTTCTCTATTCTTCATTCAGTGTTATTCATTCAGTGATTTAGTTGTATTTGACTGAAGATGAAGACTTGAAGAAATGAAACGTGATATGAGGTTGAATTTACGTCGCGCGATATAGTTAATAGATTAGATTAGCGAGAAAATCAATAACAGTATAAATACAGATAAACTTTTTCCACTTTTATCAAACTTTTCGATTTTTTAGATAACGATTCTTGAGGTTGAAACTTTTACATTATCGTAGAAATTAATGTGTCACTCGAAGAAAAAAATATGTTAATCGTAACAATTTAAATACTATATTTTTTTTTATCAAATGGAATATTTTTGATTTTTGTTTATTGGAGTATTCGTTGTTTTTTCTTTAAATGATTCACGTATCGAGTCAGCGATTACAAATACTCTTTGATATTTCGTTATCAATTATTTAAATGGAATTGTACATCGTTAAAATGTCGACCGATTTACTTGTTTCTACAATCTATGTTTAAGTTAGAATTAATTTATGTTTAACTTAGAATTTACTCGTTAAAAAAAAATATATATATATATATATATATAGTCTAGCATTAATCATTTTTTGACAAATGCTTATTCTTAAAATCCTTCTCTGGATATTTCAATTCTATTTATAAATATCTAGATCCGTAAGGCAAACGTAGCGAGACGATAAAGATTATGATTTACGATGATATAAACCTCAAAACGAGTTTTTAAAAAAAAACTGTTAAATCAAAGATCACATGCATCACTTTGTTAACATAGAAAACAAATCCTTCCTGCGTGTTAAGAAAATCCAGTCAACGAAAACAAGAAGCGATCTCGTGGCACTCATCGCTAATAACAAAAAGACCAAACCGATCTTTTTCTGACCAAACCATATATCTCCCTCAGAGATTAATTTGGGATGCGAGTACACGTGTTATACATCGATTCACCGATAGCTGTACGCGTTCGTAAACGCTAGCCCTATATAAAAATAGAAATGACCTATGCCAACGATCTTCAAACTCGATCTTCAAACACGTCCACGCCGATCGAAACGCACTCAAAAACGAGCGATCTCGTCGCTCTTGATATCCGCTAACGCGTTTCAAAAATGGCTCTAAGCAGATATAATACCATTCTTATCGCGATACACGTTTATTCGCCGGCAGTGGTCTGGTCGTTGTAAATTGTCGACGAGGATAAACGTATACAGATATCCGTACGAGGCATCCGGTTCCACTCTGAAACTTTTATTCTACACGACGAGTAGGCGTGTTACGTTAGCAGAGAGCCTCTGGTCGAGGAGAAGAAATTCGCTGGAATATCCGTCCACGCAAAGTGCAGAGAAACGTAAATTGCATGGAGGACTGGATCGGTGAAGATTCGAGAGAAGAATGAGGCGGTGGGCCTCGCGAGAGCCTCGAGCATCGGATCGATTGCTCTCTCTCTCTTTCTCTCTCTGTCTGTCTCCGTCTTTCTCTGTACATAGCTGCGTGCGAAGAAAACTTGAAACCCGATGAGGAAACGCCGGTTCCATCGTCTTCTGGAAACGAGTTTTTCCATCCAACTTTTGACCGAGAATTTTAACCGTTCTTTGAAACGTTGAAAATAGTTTTTTGGGCTGATACGAGAGGGAATCGAGGAGAATTTTAGAGGACATTCAATTATTGGGATGATGGTTATTGATTATTTTGTTGAAGGTTGGTAGAAATTGTAATAGTAGTATATTTTTGATGATTGTAATGTCATTCGTTTTGCGAATGTTTTAAGGATATTTTAACTGATTGAAAATTTTAGTTGAGATGTTTTGGAGTGAAAAGAATTTTTAGATATTTTTGAACAAGAAAATTGAAGTTGATGATGAGATATTGATAGAAATTAATAGTGTTTTGGTAATCAGAATGTGAATATTTTTCAGATAGCATAAATGATATACTTGAAAAATATTGAATTTTTATATCTAAATTTCGAATACTTTATATTAATTAAAACTTTATGGTTTAATTTAATTTTTGTTAGGATAAATTTATAGAAGTGATTGTTCAATATTTGTTATCATTCTTTTATAATTAGAAAAAAAATGAAAAAGTTTTGTTTCGTTTATCGTTTATCTGATAATTGTTAGACCTTGATACTTAATTCTCGACAATATCAAAAAATGAAACTATAAAGTTTTTTAAATCTCATCGACTTTGAGTTTCAATCTATTTGAAACTCTTTGAAAATTTTTAATGCTTTGAATGTCCAATGACTTTATATAATGACTTTATCGTTGTAACAATGAATGCGAAGATTAAATTCTTAATATCTCATCAGAGAACTTGATAGATCAGAAATTTTTAGCTTAATTAGATATAATTAAATCACAAAGAACAGTTAATTAATAGCAATTTAAATTTTAACAATATTTAATCCAAAAATTAATTTATTTATTAGAATATGCAATATTTATTATATTCTAATTATAATTTTTATTATAATTCAAACAATATTTTTATAATTTTATTCTTTTTTTGTCTATTTTTTTTTTTTTTCATAAAGTCTTTCATAATTGTAATAATATTGAAAATGAAACAGACAACTCAGCTATCGAAAGAATTTTCTTAATAGATTGATAGCAACGATAGGTCACCGATGATCAATACCATGGAATTTAATTAAAACGCTTCGAACAAATAGTCTTTGACAATTTTAAATCATTTCTCGATACCTTTTATTTTAATTGATATAGGCAATATTTTATATTAATTCGCATATTTTATATTAATTTTCCACTATATATTAATTATTTTAATTTCATATCAATCATGGAACGTTCAATGTTCCATTTTGATATGATGATACGTCTAAATTTAAATTAATATCACTCGAATTATTAACGAGTCTTTATAAGAAAATAATATATAATAACCGAATTTTAATACGTGTTCTTAAAATTTGTTATAAAAATTTTAACAGACTATCGTTATATATCTATCAACGAATATAGTATCGACGAATTCTATTAAATACAAAAAGATTTAGAGCCAACTAACACTCCATTACAAAGAAAATTGAGTATTCCATGGAGTTTTCCTTGCAAAATTTCCCCGTGAACATCCTATCTTAATGTTGTGCGTAAACTTGGAGGAAAAGCTTGCTGCTTGTTGAACTTTAATGATAGGCCAATATATCTTGCATGTTTATTATAGAATGTTTATTATAGAAAAAGTTATCTCTGTGTTGTGCTCACCGACACGGTTAATATCACAACAAAGAGCATCGGATTTTTTTTAGACAATTTGTTCTTCGTCTCTCAGTATTTCAACAGATATGTAAATATCGATATCATCAAACGAAATTTGTACAGAACGATAATAATTTTAAAATTTTCCCTTTTTAAATTCTTTGATTCGATCTTTTGGTAAAATTTATAAAATTACAATTTTCGTTTCACTGTCTAAATCTGAAATATCTAGGTTATATAGGAAAATATATAGGAAAGTAGAGAATTAATTTCGACGGTACGGTACTAATTTTCATAGATAGTTTCAAATTAACGGAATATTTGCAATTAGCGAGCAGAATTTCCATTTCGATCTACATCTACGTAATGATGTCAATTGTTCGAAATAGTATATATATATCAATCCCTGAATAAATTATATCTCTCTCTCTATTCATTTATAATTTGACTGAACTTCAATCATTTCCTCGAATCTACATCATACATTTAAAATCATTTTTAAGTATTAATGATTATAGTTAAAGAATTCGCGAAACATTTCAAACCATTCCATAAATAAATTATTATAACGTATATATTGAAATTATTGGAATACATTCGTAATATATATTAAAATTAATGTAATTCTGTAAACTTTTTTCAAAATTAAACTTTAGTTTCCAAGAACAACGATTCTTCCATTCTTCTATTAACTTTTAAAATTTGCACAACGCCGTGTAACGGAAACAGTTTCTTTCGAAACTTTCGACGAAAGATGGACATTATCCTCGAATAAACACAACCTAACGTTTTCACTCGAATGCTATTTTCTTTGTCCCCAACTCGAGACTGCAGATGAATACCGTGACATTTCAACGAATCAGTTACCCTTTCCTTCTGAATTTAAGGACGCAAGTTTCGCAAGTTAAGCAATCGCCTACCTAGGATTAAAGCAATGAATCGCGTTTCTACTACGCGAAATGTAACTTCCTTTATTCATCGGCCCGTTCAATCAAGGATCGTGGAAAAAGCAAGCGATAACGCACACGCGAATCTCGATTCGCAAATATTCCGCGCACGTCTATCACCATCAACGTTAGAATCCCTTTGACGTGCTCCGTGACGAGTAAATTTCGATTCTGTGGTGGTGCTCCACGTCGATTCCATATACGTTCGTTTATTTTACAACGCGAGGCCTGGGTAAATAGAAGTTGCAGAAGGTACTGCTACTCGAATAACGTATGCGTAAGTCGACATGTGAAATTTTACAAATTTCATTCACGATTGTGAATAACTATTCGAGAACTGTAAGTTATCCTTGTATTTTTTTTTTTAATATTTGAAGTTATATATATAGAGTGCTCCAAAAATAAGAGAACCATTTGTCAATTGATCTTTGGATAATTGCAAGCAATATTTTCCCCTTTCAAAAATTCTCATTGTTAACAAAAAACACGTGTATATACATTTCTATGGACATAATTTCTAAAGAAATCTGATTAGGGATCAGGTTTTAAATATTTTAAATATTTCACTTTAAACACTTTTTGAATACAATTTCACTTTTATTAAATCTTCTTCAATTTCTTCAGCAAACGTTCAAACGTTCCATACTGTTTTTTTATATTAGGAAACGATTAAAATAATATTTAAAACGAAACGAAAAGAAATTAAAGCGAGCATGATAAAATGAACTTTTAATCGTTGGAGCGATATTAAAACGACGCGACCCTAGTTAAAACACTTTGAAATTCCACCACGGTGGTACACGTGGCGGTTGGAGATTTCCATGCCCACAATCTCGCAGTTGAATTTCCGGAGTTTCGGCGGTGTGACGGTGTGTCGTAGCGGCGAGAAGGTCGGCTAAAATATCCCCCGTTGGATGTCATAGGCTTGCTTAGGCGCGCCTGTGTTATTTCTAATTCACGAGTTCGCTCAGAAGCTTGGAGTTCAGGCATGCAATACGATGCGACACTGTGCACTCTGTCCCAAAATAGAATTCCGGCTGTTTTGCCGGCCAGGATGCTTGGAATTCTTCTAGCATTTTTAGGGCGACGTTTATGTTCGAAGAATTAACGGCGCCGCTAGTTTAAAATCGGGGAAGAATTTCGGTGGTCGTGATAAGTGGTTTTGGAATTGGGTTAACCTTTCTGAATACTTCTTTTTTTTTTTCTTTTTTTTGGAAGAAATGTGATTTCCTAGGGCACACGGTGTAAATTAGAAACAGTTATTCGAAGAT